CTCCTGGTGTTCCGTTTCATTTGTGGCTCCATGTCACCCGACAGCATCAAAATCTGAAACAAACAACAAAAGTTATGATCATTTCATCCGCTGTGCTGGGACCATCCAAACAGATACCTTTCTTTTGGAAGTTCCAATACGTTTGTGGCATCGCGCAATTGGCGAATAAGATTGATATTTCCGTCACCCCTATTCACACTTTTATTTAAAATGGAAAATCCAAAACCAACAGAGGCAATCATTTTTTTTTTAAATATATAAAGAATTTTTTTGGAAACATAAACAGAAGGACAATAGGTATAAAGAGCTTTTTTATCCAGACGAAACAAGCAAATGAACTGAAATAAAAACTTGATTGTCTGGGTAGCAATTGTTTGTCTGCGTTACACAAAAGTTCTGCGAACATGCTATTAGTTTGTGTCTATGGTTAAGATATGGAGGTGGTTTTGGAAATGAGTCCTATATTTGCACGAAAGCGAAGGAATAATATCCAGAGCCCCCTTTAAGTGAATTTTAGGAAAGAAGATATTTTGGTGTATGTGTGTATTAAAAAAGGCAACTATAAATACCTAACTGCCAGGTATTCCACTTGCCTCGAATATAGTCATTTTTAAAGTGATCATGTGCATCGCTCTGGTCCCACACAAATGCATCGTAATTTGCACCTGGATGTCTAACATCTACACAATTTATTACCATATGATCGCATATCTGTAATAAATAGCTTTGAAAAAAAAAACTTACCACCATTATATTTATGCTCTAGTAACCTTTATGGTTATATTATAAATGCTGTTGCCCAGGTGACTTTATTCGAATATGGGAGCCGTCTATGCATTCTACAACTTCAGGTACGCCAGCGCTGTTGAAAAAGCTTTGTTTGCATTCATCTTCCTCACCTAATGTTTTTGTAGATGAATCTATTTAGCACATATGCTCATGCATTCGCTTATAACCTCCGAAACATTTGCCTTTGACATATATGAGACGCTCTCATTTCCAACACAAAATTGGTAGCCACCACTTGCCAAAAATTTTAAAAATGTTGAAATTTTACGATTGGTGGAACATTGTTGCTCCTGGTGTTCCGCTTCATTTGTGGCTCCATTTCACCCAACAGCATCAAAACACCTCCTTACTTACTCGAAAATTGGCAATAAATCTGAAACAAACAACAAAAGTTATGTCCATTTCATCCGTTGTCCTGGGTCCATCCAAACACATACCTTTCTTCTGGAAGTTCCAATACGTTTGTGCGCGATGCCACAAATTGGCGAATAATATTGATATTTCCATCACCCCTATTGACACTATTATTTAAAATGGAAAATCCAAAACCAACAGAGACAATCATTTTTTAAAAATATAAAGAATTTTTTTTTAACATAAACAGAAGGACACTAGGTATAAAGAGCTTTTTTTATCCAGACGAAAAAAGCAAATGAACTGAAATAAAAACTTGATTGTCTGGGTAGCAATTGTTTGTCTTCGTTACACAAAAGTTCTGCGAACATGCTATTAGTTTGAGTCTATGGTTAAGATATGGAGGTGGTTTTGGAAATGAGTCCTATATTTGCACGAAAGCGAAGGATTAAGGCTGGAATCCCGATATTTGTTATTTAGGTCTCTAATTTAGTCAGCAGCTAATATATGGAGGTAGTTTTGGAAATGTATCCTATATTTTTAAGAAAACTACTTAATAATAAATTTGGTATTGTGTGAAGTAATAAGGTAGGAATCCCGAAATTGTTTATAATAGTGTCTGATGGTGTATGAGGTTATAATATGAAGTTGATTTTGCAAACGCGTCCTATATTTGTTAAAAAATACCATATGATATTAAAGTCCGAAAAAGGCACTCGGAAATTTGTTATTTATGGCTCTGTGTGTGCCTGTGGTTAAGATATGGAGGTGGTTTTGGAATGCGTCCTATACTTGTACGAAAACTACCAACTGTCACATTTAGCATTGGGTGAAGGAATAAAGCTGGAATCCGGCAAATTGTTATTTAGGCCTCTGATGTCGTCAGATGTTAAAATATGGAGGAAGTTTTGGAAATGCGTCCTATTAATGTACCAAAACTACTAAATAATACAAAATTTAGTATTGGGTAAAGAAATAAGGCTGGAATCTCGAAATTTACTATTTTGTTATATTTTGTTGTTAGCGGTTAAAATACAGAGGTGGTTTGGAAATGCGTCCTATATTTTTAAGAAAGCGATTTCATGATACTAAATTATTGGATGAAGGAATAAGGCTGAAATCATGAAATTTGTTATATATGTCTGTTAAAACATACATAAATATTTTTTTTTATTGTTCTATAAACATACTTTAGATTTAATTACCAAAACAAACAATAAATACAAAAATCAAACACACCTACATATTTATAAGTTTTAAAAACTGCTTATACAGCATTATTATATCACATATTTGGACTATTTTATTGTTACAGTTAATTTTCTTTATTTTAGTTCATTGACCATTGGTTCATTCACTTTTGCAATGTTTTTAAGTTTCTTTAACACATTTATTTATTTTGCTTACATAGCATTTAATGTCTACTAGTAACCGACCTACATTACAATTAATTTATATCAGCATTTATCAATAGCATTTTTTAATTAATTATGTTAAGAAATTATGTATATAAAGACAGCCAGAAATAAAGAAAAGTCAGTCGTCTTTTGTAGTGACTAAACTAAGAGTTTTAATTACTATCTAGGCGGCTTCCTTCAAGTTCATGTGCTTGGAAGGAAATTAATTTGGATACTAAGTGTCAGTTCAAATTTATGTGTTTGGATTGAATCGCACTAGATCCTACTATCATAACATTTTTTGGTGACCCCGACGTGATCGTTTACACACATCCTTTTGCCCCACAAGTGGTAAAGGATTTGAATCGTAAGACGTGATCGTTTACACACATCCTTTTGCCCCACAAGTGGTAAAGGATTTGAATCGTAAGACGTGATCCTGACGATAACTAAACCGAAACATTTTTTGGTGACGTTATCCACAAGGTGTGAGGACGTAACGCACGCGTACCAATTTCAAAAACCCCCTTTTGGAGCTCTGGAGGAAAACCAGGAGGAAATTGCCGGTAACTAATCATCATACAACAACTGCTGCTACTCGCTGATAAATCAACAAACAATAATGGCAAACGTTCAAGAGCTTATTTCTCAGCAAGAAGAAAGAGGCAGCAATTTCGAAAAATTCGTCTCTACTATAAAGAAGGCACCTCTTGAAAGGAGAACGGAAGAGTTCTACAAGAGCAAACTTGATGAACTAAGGCTGTTATGGCAGAATTTTGAGAAGGCAGAAAACAGAATTCGCGATGATCCATCATTATCAGAGGATGATCCGTATATTGCTCGGAATCTATATAGAACGATTGGAGAGAAGTTCAGCTCAACAATGGAATATATAGACGCGGAAATAAAGAAACTGAGGTCAGCCAAAAGTAAGCCAGTTCCCACCTTGAGAGAGAAATCGACTGAAGTTGTCGCAGGAGACAAAATACCTTCCCGTGTTGATGGGCTTGTCAGAATGATAAATGCTCGAATGAGTGCCCTTAGTCGTCACTTGCAAGGCTTGGGCACAATCGAAGCGGAACAGCCGAAGCAATTTTATAGCATCAAAGAAGATACTATAAAAAAGCTATGGAATCAAATAACGGAGTTCTACGATGAAATATTGCAGCAGATTGAAGATCCATCGAAAATTGGATTAAGTCAAGAAAACTACGATATGCTGGAAGATTCGGTACAAGACAACTTAATAAAACTTGCAGTCTTGAAAGACAAATGCAGCGAAACCGTGACCATTGCACCTCAATTAGGGAGTGACATTATAGCACACAGTTCACTCCCACTACCAAAGGTAACAATTCCTCAATTCAATGGGGATTGTTTGAAGTGGCGTCAGTTCTATGAACTTTTCTTGGAGATGGTAGACAAACAGTCTCTTCCAAGTGTTCAAAAAATGTGGTATCTCAAAACCAATTTGTCTGGCGAGGCTGGCAAACTAATCAGTCATCTATCCTTGACAGAGGATAATTACAAAACGGCATGGATGTTGCTGCAAGAACGTTATAACAATAAGCGGGTTCTTGTTTCCACTCTAGTAGAACGGATTTTGAGTCAACCAAATGGAACTTCATCTACGGCCTCCATCAAGGCTCTGCATGACACTACAAAGGAATGCATGCTAGCCCTCAACAATCTTCAAATCGACACAACGTCTTGGGATGCTCTATTGATTCAATTGATCACAAAGAAATTGGATCACGCTCTGTACATACGATTCATGCAATCACTGGCGAATCCGAAGGAAGTTCCTACTATGAAAGAGCTGTTTTCATTTTTGAAACTTCAATTCGAATCAATGGAATCGATTGGAAAAGCGGCATCTATCACAAGGGTTCAACCAAAACTGTTTCGTCCGTAACATCAATGGAGGATCACAGGAGTTGTAAACTATGCAAGAACGACTCCCATCCAGTTTATCATTGTAAGAAGTTCTTGGCAATGACAGAAGGTGAGCGATTGAAATGGATACAGCAACATAAATTGTGTGTAAATTGTTTCAAATCGGACCATGCAGCAAAAACTTGTTTTTCTGGCAACTGCAAAATATGTAGTAATAAGCACAATACATTGCTACATTTGCCAAAAAAATCTCAACCGTCGCCGAAGGCCTCAAATCAATCACCACCAACAAAAATCGATATCGCACCAGTTAACGTTACTGCAGTTTCTTCGGCATCAGCAGAAGATCGGAAAAATGTAATTCTAGCAACGGCTAGAGTCATCATCAAAGCGACTAACGGTATGTCAGGCGAATTTAGAGCGGTGTTAGACTCGGGTTCGCAAGTGAACATTGTGACGGAAAGACTCATACAAAAATTGTCACTTAGAACAGCAGATGCCTCTTTATCTATTTCCGGAGTCGGAAGGATTCAGAAGAAGGCTTATCATCGGGTAAACATACAAATGTTATCAAGCAATTCTGAATTTTCCACAAATTTGGAAGCATTTGTTTTGCCCACAATTATACCTCCGCAACCAAATCATGATTTGGATATACAAAACTGGCAAATTCCCAAGAATATTAGATTAGCAGACCCTAATTTTAACGTTCAAGGAAAAATTGACATTTTACTCGGAGCTGAGTTTTACTTCAGTTTAATGCAACCAGGCACAATAAAACTAAATGGTCATCAACCCATACTCCAAAATACTGCGCTTGGCTGGATTGTAGGTGGTTTAGTTCAACAATCGTCAACGGACGACACATCAGCAGCGCTAACATGCGCAATTTTTAGTGAAACATCACTGGAACAAGCTATCGAAAAATTATGGAAACTTGAGGAAGTGGAATCAACTGAAAAGGTCATGTCTCCATTAGAAACCCTTTGCGAATCTCACTTCAATCAACATGTTAAGACGGATCAGAATGGTCGTTTCATCGTCAGCTTTCCGTTTCAAGAATCTCCAACAGCATTGGGAAAATCACATGCAATGGCTTATAACCGATTTATGAGCCTTGAACGCCGACTTCTACAGAAGGAAGATATCCGAAGTCAGTACATTAAATTTATGCGAGAATATGAACAATTAGGACACATGCAAAAGATTGACGTGTGTACCGTATCAAATCCTAAATATTTTATTCCGCATCATTGTGTTCTCAAGCCCGATAGTACAACAACAAAACTTATGGTTGTATTTGACGCATCAGCGAAAACTTCATCAGGTCAATCGTTAAATGATCTAATGTATACAGGACCAATCGTACAAAGTGAATTGTTTTCTATTTTGCTGAGGTTTCGATTGCCAAAATTCGTCTTCACAACCGATATTGAAAAGATGTACAGGCAAATTTTAATGCATCCCGATGATCAAAGGTATCAGCTAATTATCTGGAGAGAGGATCCATCCCATCCAGTCAGTTATTACAAACTTAATACGGTCACATATGGGACACGTTCAGCACCGTATCTGGCTACAAAATGCTTACAAAAGATTGCAAACGAGAACATGGAGCGTTATCCATTAGGCTCACAAATGCTGAAAGATAATTTTTATATGGATGACGGTCTCGGCGGTGCAGATAGCCTAAGTACAGCTATTGAAATACAAAAGGAGTTAATAACAATCTTGAAACAACACGGCTTCATTCTAAGGAAATGGTCATCCAATACACCAAGATTGCTGAAGGACATACCACATAGCGATCGAGAAGTGAACCTGGATCTCAACGAATCACAAACAATAAAGACGTTGGGATTATATTGGATGCCGCAAGCAGATCAATTTTGTGTAAAAACGAACATTGATCATAATGAAATCATATCAAAACGAGTAGTTACGTCTGAACTAGCAAAATTATTTGATCCGCTTGGCCTACTTGCACCGATTGTGGTGAAGGCAAAAATATTTATTCAGCAGCTGTGGCAACATACATTAGATTGGGACGAAGCATTACCCGAAAAACTTTGTGCCACTTGGAAAACATTTCGAAGGGAATTGGAAGGTCTCAACAACTTTAAGATACCGCGACATGTATTCTGTGGAGAGATCCCGACGAAAACCCAGTTGCATGTGTTTGCCGATGCATCGGAAAGAGCTTTTGGCGCGGCTATTTATATTCGTTTTATTGGAAAAGATGGACGAGTCGTCGTACGTCTGATCTGTGCTAAATCCAGGGTAGCTCCTTTGAAAAAACAAACTCTACCACGATTAGAGCTATGTGCCGCAGTGGTAGCAGCTCAACTGGCTACCAGGGTGAAAAATGACCTAAGGCTTCAGAATAATCCGATGTTTTTATGGACTGATTCTGAAATAGTACTCGCCTGGATAAAATCAAGGTCCAACGTATATAAGACTTTTGTGGCTAATAGGGTATCCACCATACAAAACTTAACATTGCCAGAACAATGGAACCACGTTAAGTCAAAAGAAAATCCTGCCGACATTTTATCCCGAGGACTCTCGCCAGCTGATCTTTCTAAATGCCGATTATGGTTTCATGGTCCAGTTTTTCTTCATGGAAAGGAAGAACTATGGCCGACCAAATTCTCTCCGCAGGAGGATATAACAAATAGCATGGAGTTAAAGACTGCAGCTACGACGTCAATAGTAACTTCTGACATGCATCTAATACATATGATCGAGCACAAAAATTCATTCAGGAAGTTACAAAGAATTTTGGCATACGTGCTTAGATTCACCAGCAATGCACGTATGCAAAAGGCACACCGGCCTCAACATATAGCAGTGTCTTCCAAAGAATTAGACGACTCCCTTCGTCGAATAATTCAAGCCGTACAATCATCTGAATTTGCAGCTGATATCAACGCGTTGAAGGCTGAAAAGCAGATTAATAAGCATAGCTCGCTATGCAGTTTATCACCGTTTTTGGATGATGAAGGCATTCTTCGGGTTGGTGGAAGGTTGGAGCATGCTATGCTACAAATGGATGCGAAACACCAAATGATATTGCCTTATAATGATCCTTTGGTGAAATTGCTATTTAAGACAGTTCATGAAGAAAATAAACATTGTGGAGCTCAAGCCTTGTTAAACGCAATAAGACAGCGATTCTGGCCAATAAAAGGCAAGATAACAGCAAGGTCTACCGTTCAAAGATGCATAAAATGTAATAGAGCGCGACCACAACTGTATCAACAAATAATGGGAAATTTACCAGCAACAAGGGTAGTTCCTGCTCGACCATTTATCAACTCTGGGGTCGACTACTGTGGGCCATTTTGGATCCATTACAAAGTCAGGGGCAAGCGACCAACAAAGGCTTATGTCGCTGTATTCTGCTGCTTTGCAACAAAGGCTGTTCATTTGGAGCTCGTATCGGACCTATCAACCGAATCATTCATTGGCGCTCTTAAACGATTTATAGCTCGCAGAGGTCACTGCCAAAATATATATTGCGATAACGCTACAAACTTTGTTGGAGCCAAAAATAGTTTAGAGGAATTATCTGAAACCTTATATTCGGACAAGGCGCAAGAGCTACTTTTATCAGCTGCAAGTTCCAAGGGCATACAGTTCCATTTCATTCCACCAAGAGCTCCGCATTTCGGAGGCTTATGGGAAGCTGCAGTAAAGTCCGCAAAACGTCTCTTGGTCCGTAGTGTTTCAACGGAAACACTTACTCATGAAGAATTAGAGACAATAATAATAGAAATCGAAGCTATTTTAAATTCGCGTCCGCTCACACCTCTTTCAAACGATCCAGAGTGCCTTGATGCATTGACGCCGGGACATTTTCTAATCGGCGAAGCTCTAACTTCGCAGGTAGATAGTAGAGCAGAAACTTCGAAAACATCCAGAATAACACACTGGAAGTTAATTTCGCATATTAAGCACCAATTCTGGAAAAGGTGGTCGGAAGAGTACCTACAAGAACTCCAGCAACGTAACAAATGGAGGCAAAAGATGCCCAATCTTAGAAAAGGAGATATGGTCATTATAAAGGAAGACAATCTACCTCCAATGAAGTGGCCATTAGGGAGAGTTCTTAACGTATTTTTCGGTGATGACGGAGCTGTAAGAGTTGCGGGCCATCCATCGACTAGCACCACTGTTTCCAGAAGATCATGATAATGCTATAATTGACAAAGATACAACTCAAGAAAGCACCATTTCCCACAAGAAAAAATCGGTAACAGATGAACATGGAAGAGATGTCATTCCGGCAAAAAGAGTGAGAATTGCAAACAGTCCTATAATACTATCAGTATTATTAACATTGTTCGTAATACCTATGGTCCTGTGTAACAATTTGAAAGTTACACAATTTCATAATGATCCAGGATTGTATTTTGAAGGGTTAGGAACAATGAAATTGAATGCAGCAGAATGGAAGATGTTAGTATATTATGACCTAAAGCCCTTTGTTTCGGAAATAGAGTCATTGGCATCCGGCTTACAAACGTTGCAGCAAATGTGCCATGTAATGCATCAGCATGAGATGTGCAACATTTTTGTAAACAACCTGAAGCAGACGAAAAATGAATTACTACAAGACAAAGAATTATTCATCAACAAACGTGTAAAAAGATCTCCATTCAACATAATTGGGAATATTGCGCACTCACTTTTTGGCGTTCTCGATACGGACTATGCGGAAGAAATGTCAAAGACTATCAACCAGGCAAAAGGCGAACAGGATCACATAATCAGTCTATTGAAAAATCAGACTTCAATAATTGATTCAACTATTAATGTTATAAAAAGAGATGAGATTAACACTCATCAAAAAATACGGGAGATTTTGAAAATGATTGACAAACACAATAACGATATAGCTGAAGAATCCGCCCAATTCAACAATTCTCAACTGTTTGGACTTCTATCAACGCATTTGATGTTATCCGCAATAAAGCTACAGAGAACACAGGCCGAAATCATTAATGTACTTACGGATACTCATCATGGAAAAATAAGTCCCCTGTTATTGGCTCCTCAACAATTGAAAGAAGAAATTAGTGTCATTAAGGCTAATCTTCCAATTTCACATGCGTTGCCAACATCAGGTGACAATTTGATTCAACTTTATAAGCTTATGAGTGTCAAAGGGGCAGTTACAAAATATGAAATTATTTTTGAAGTGAAGATACCCTTAGTTAACCAACAGTTTTTTGAGTTGTTCAAAATAGTTGCAGTTCCAACAATACAAAATGACACCTTAATCGCCATTCAACCAGAAACGGAATACATATCTACCGATGCACATAGAGAAGAATATATTCTTGTCAAATCAGAGGATATTTCAAGCTGCCTCAAACCAAACGATGATGAATATATTTGCAGAAATCAGCAGTCAAAGCTCAAGAAAAATGCACTTGTTAACCCTTGCGAGATCAATATCTTCAATAACCAATCAACTAGCAATTGCCGTCTTCACAAAATTACTGGAACAGCAGTTTGGAGTCAATTACATCATCAAAATAAATGGATCTTTGCTACTACAGCCGATATTGAATCTTCAATGGTATGCGGATCTGAAACCAACCTCACCATCATTAAAAATTCCGGAATAATGGAAATTGGTCCTACCTGCGTAATAAAAAACAAATTTGTTACGATACATGGACATTTTGCAGCTTCCAGTAGTTTACATACATCCTATGTAAGATTGAAAGGCATTCAATATATAAGTCGACAAGAGGAAATTGAAAAGGTTTCAACAAATACCAATACCACCTCTTACAAGATTCATCAAGAAGAATTGGATAATATACAAAAACAGTTGCATGAATCAACTCTAAAACACCTACCACAATTAATTCACTCATCAAATCAACATCATCAAGCAGTTAGCTACGCATCTTTAGCTTGCTGCATTCTTATTTTACTTGGCCTGCTGAGTTGGAGGATCCACACAAAATTTAAGAAGCCATCTCAATTCATACCTACACCAGCTATAAGATCTCATCAATCAACAATCGATGTTACAATGGAGTCATTCCCACATGCATCCAACCCAGGCGCAATCATTGAACAATGTCAACGCGGCGGAGAATGTTAAAACATACATAAATATTTTTTTTTATTGTTCTATAAACATACTTTAGATTTAATTACCAAAACAAACAATAAATACAAAAATCAAACACACCTACATATTTATAAGTTTTAAAAACTGCTTATACAGCATTATTATATCACATATTTGGACTATTTTATTGTTACAGTTAATTTTCTTTATTTTAGTTCATTGACCATTGGTTCATTCACTTTTGCAATGTTTTTAAGTTTCTTTAACACATTTATTTATTTTGCTTACATAGCATTTAATGTCTACTAGTAACCGACCTACATTACAATTAATTTATATCAGCATTTATCAATAGCATTTTTTAATTAATTATGTTAAGAAATTATGTATATAAAGACAGCCAGAAATAAAGAAAAGTCAGTCGTCTTTTGTAGTGACTAAACTAAGAGTTTTAATTACTATCTAGGCGGCTTCCTTCAAGTTCATGTGCTTGGAAGGAAATTAATTTGGATACTAAGTGTCAGTTCAAATTTATGTGTTTGGATTGAATCGCACTAGATCCTACTATCACAACAATGTCTCTGTTGGTGTCTGACGTTAAGATATGGAGGTGATTTAGCAAAAGCGTCCTATATTGGTACAAAACATACTATATGACACTAAATTTGGTGTGGGTTGAAGAAATCCCGAAATTTGTTATTTAGGTCTCTGTAGGTGTCTGTGGTTAAGATATAGGGGTAGAGATATTTAAGATATTTGTACAACAACTACTAAATGTACAAAATTTGGTATTGGGTGAAGAAATAAGACTGGAATCTCAAAATTTTTTAATTAGGTCTCTGTTGTCATGTGCGATAAAAATATGGAGGTGGTTTGGGAAGTTCGTCCGATATTTGTGCGAAAGCTAGTAAATGACACTGAATTTAGTATTGGGTGAATGAATAAAGCTGGAGTCCCGAAATTTGTTATTTAGGTCTGTGTTGGTGTTTGTCCTATATTTGTACGAAGACTACTAAATGACACTAAATTTGGAATTGAGCAAAGGATAAGGCTGGAATCCCGAAATTTTTCTAAGGCTGGAATTCTGAAATTTTTTATTTAGGTATCTTTTTTTTGTCAGGAGTTAAAATGTGGAGGTACATTTGAAAATGCGTCTTATATTTATATAGAAATTACTAACTACTAAATAATACTAAATTTGGTATAAGGTGAAGCAATAAGGCTGGATTCCAGAAATTTATTTTTTAGGTCTTATAGCCTGTTCTGAAAACTTATTTTTCTTCCAATTGTTTGGCAAATGACAGACAAATATAATTTTTGGTTTTCGTATGTAAGTAAACAAAAAGAGCTTTTTCAATAGGCAATTTTTGGTTCACCAAACTCCAACACAAACAAAAAGAAATGTCAAAGTAGTCAATCAAAAATTACCAATCCTTCATTCACAAAAGAAAAAAAAATTAAGATGTTGTGCATAACAATGGATATTTCTACTAAAAAATGTAAGTATTTCCAAGTTATTACATTATAAACTTTTATATTATAACGAAATTTCAATCTTTAAGAATTAAAAAAAGAACTTCTGGTCAGTTTAGGATCTTGGTGGAATCTATTGACGAATTCTCAGAGCTAGCAACTTAAGTCCGATTTTTCGAAAGTCGAAATTGAGTCCAAATGGGATGTTGTGACACAAAAAATAAGTTCGGT